GGAGCTTGGGGGTTGCGACTATGGAATAGGCAGCTTTAATGAACCTCTTCGATTTATTCGATTTAAGAGATCAATTAATTCTGTTTGCAGCGTCTGTTCACCAGAGATCCGGCTGTGAGCTTACTATATATGGTATGTAATTGTGTCCTAATTCTCCCACCTACTCGGTCAGCGATGCTGTGCAATGAAAAACTTCTACTCGATGAGAGACCCCACTTCAGATCACGATCTATGGAAACGTTTTAAATACCAAGATTTAAGCATGCACCTGGAATGACCGATTCCTTAGTTGGGTAGGCGCCACTGGTCAATTGGTTAATGTCCTGGTTAGACTATTGGCTGGCTTTACAGTCAGGATGGAAACAAATAGGTCCTTGTGCCATACACTGCAAGAGTTCAAATTTTGTGTCAGATTGGTAGTAGAGGAACGACTCATGCAGCAAAGAATATCTCACCATCAACGAAAAGCTGCATACACCACAGATAGTCAAGCGGCTTTCCACTCGAATTTCTCTCTAAGCGAATTAATCACCAACGGTAAAACGGTGTAACGGTGAAAAAATACGATGACTTAAAGACAGTTAGTACATAGGCAGAACCCAAAGTGCTGAGTAGGTTATAAATGGCCTGAGTTTATAGAGAGATCAAATGGCAGTAATAGTCATACGAGTACACCCGCAGATGCCGAACCCGAAATTTCAGCGATTCGATGATTTTTAATAGCATTAGCCCGCTTGTGAGACTACAAGGCAGCGGTACCCAATAATTGTATCATGATGAAGAACTGACAAAGCGTATGTCCGACTATTGGAACCTATGTGTAATTGATCCAATATACAATAAAGAGGGGAGTTCACAAACTGCGAGTGTGATAAGTCTGTTCATATCGTATATCAAGCGTGCCTCATGAGTATGTCTTCTGGCCTAGTACATTCAACATTCACCAGATATTCACTGTGCTACAAATCTTCGAAAATTTCTCTTAGAAAATAATCGATTTCCTCGATATTATAGCACCCTTTGATGGCACGAAAACGAGTTGCCTCTACATATAAGCTTATATGATTATGCAAACCGACACTGTCTTGGCTTCTTGGCTCCTACAACGTTTTTGACACTCGTAGATAATTATCATTAACATCAACAACATTGTCAGCCTCGAAATTCAACGCAGTCCTCCCTCCACATCCACTAAGTTGGTATTCGAAATTTTCTTGTGAGAGAGATATGTGGAGCTTCCCCAACTAGCGACAACGAATACCTTAGACCGTAAACGACAATAAGCTGTATGAGGTATACGATGACATTGCCATGGGTCAGCAAAGTACAAGGCAGCAGATACGTTAGCCAGGTTATGTTGTCCTGGTGTAAAAAAGCACGCCAGCATTGAAGGACGCATTATTCGCCGATGGAAAAAAGGTAGGAGGGAGCTTTAGCTCAGTTGGAAAAATCAGACCTAGTTTCATTTGGTTTCTCGAAGCGGCGCCAAGGGCAGAAAAAAAGTAACGTCTCGCGTCCTACTGTTAGCTCGGCAATAACCGGTTAAGCTATGCCTACGAAAGGTACGTCGGGCTTTTAACTACAGATATAAAGGTAAAAAAAGAATCTGAGAAGAAGCAGACGGAACATTTTACAAACAGTTTCCCAAGTTCTATTCTGTACCTATTTTCCTTTCACGCTAAATGCATCTCGCTTTAATCTAAAATTCCTTAAAACGTTCCAAGAAAGTTTTTTCTCAGTTTTTAATTTTATATTCTTGGATTAAGAACTGCAATTCAAGAATGTATAATGAGTTTTTCCTTATTAGAAGAATTGGTACACAGAAACTATGGCATATATACGACCAATTTTTTAGACTTGAGAGTTTGGGGGACAAATTTGTCAAAAACGTATCTAGGAACGTGGTGCACTTAGAAGCACACCAAGTGAGGCTCTAAATGTAATACTCAATATTCTGCCATTGGATTTGGTGACACATCACTAAGAGATTCAAATCAATGGTCTTCCCAGGTGTGGGGACACTCGACAATATTGGGTAAATACTCTTTCATGAGACCCTGGTCACAGGGATATCGAGAGAAACTGTGATGCGGATGAATTTGCTAGGCGGGATACGACCAAGTACATTCTTCCCCCGATAAAGAACCCATTGGTATGCCTTTTGCCAATGCAAACTGCTTCTCAATGAATTCATATATGAACAAGCCACTACAAGGTGGAATGACATCACAGCCTGCCGCAAAACTAGGCACACATGACCTAATCGGGATAAGTAGAGATCACGAGATATGTACTCCTTAAAAAAGGCGACATAGCCAAAGTTATAGGATTTCTGACAGGCAACAGTCTGATAGGACGCCACGCAGAAAGACTAGACGCTCTCTATAGGAGAAGACAATCACCCATCTTTTTTACAACTGTCCTGCATTAAGCAGAGCGTGGTTTTTTAATTTGGGACCCTACTGCGGGATTGTCTATAGAGGATAGCTGACGTCGAAGTCATAGTTCTAATGAGGTTCATTAGAGAATCAAAGTGGATGGGCGATAAGGCCTGATGGTTCAAGACTTTGATGAATTACACATTGGAAATATGAAAATCATTGAAACCGGAAGACTAAATCAAATAGACAGCATAAAATGGATTTCTTCAGACATAACTTTTGTGTCCGAGTTCATTTTTGAGCCACTGTATATACAAATAAAAATTGAAACCGAAAATCATCAATATTTCAGATAAAAGAATTAATATTTAAACCTACAATAAAAATACCATAAATCTCATGTGATTAAGAAGAGTATAAAGGCTTACGCTTGACCGGAGACAGATCCTCTGTCTTGGTTCTCTAATGCGATAGCCCTTTTGTAACTCCCTCTCTTTATGGGTTACTTAGATATATCATCAAGGCGCGTGCTATAAACTGAGAGGAAAGTCGGTCTTATATCAGTAAAGTCAATAATATTTGCATGTACTATTCGTATGTTTCACATAAGTACTCGTATAGTTAAATATTTAAGTATGTAAACAAATTATTGGCATCTAATCTGATGATTATATTTATTTAATTATTAAGTAATATTGCGCATATCCATACAAACGCATAGACATTCGTAGAAAGTCAAACATTTGACTCACACTTTTTGGGTTAATATATTATATAGGGTTATCCATTTCGTTATTTCAAAAGTACAGGGCTGTGTTTTTGCAACTATCAAACTTAATTGTCAAACTAAAGAAATTTTGTTTTAATAAAAATTCCAACTTCCGTACTTTGAGAGGAGACTATGGTGCACATAATCGTCCAAATGCTCAAGCAAATGGTAAGGTTTTAAAGAAAGTTGAAAACACTGGAACGGTTAGAGATGCTGTAGGGTCTGGCCACTATCGTTTTGCTAAAATCACAACACCAACCTCAAATAAAAATTCACCATGTGATGTTCTTCGGGTTTAGGCATAATTTACAGCCAATGCAAATATTCAGTGAATGTCAAATTGCATATGGAACGATTGCACCGTCTTTAAAGACTATTTCTAAGTGGTTCCGAAGATTCCAGATCGGAAATTTTTGCGAGAAGGCCGACCAAAACCTTATATTGATGACGTCGCTGTAGCTCTGGGGAAGTCCCAAATTGACAAAGACCCACGATTGATACAGTAAATGATTGCTTATGAATTAAGCTTGCGAGGCATGGCTGAATCGCGAATATTAAGTTATCATCTGGGATACACGAAGAAATCTGCTCGACGGGTACCACGAATTTTAAATAAGACCCAAAAAGAAGCTCGAGGGCATTTCGCTTAATCTTTCCTAAACAAATTCGAAACTGGTCAGTCTAGCAACTTTACTATAGTCGTTAGTGATGGGGAATCTTGGTTCTATAAGAACAATCCAGAAACCAAACAGCAGCCCATGATATGGAGCCCAACAGGAGCAAGCCCACCCGTAAAGTCTAAGCAACAAAAATCAGCAGCAAAAGTAAAGATGTCAGTTTACTTCAGCTGAACTAAAATCGTAGCTGCTATTCCACTGGGAAAGCGTTAGACGGTAACTGCGAAATGATACACCGAAGAGTGCTTATCATATCAGGTCTATAACTTTGCTTCCGCCGTTTTTTTCCAAAATTAAACGCATTGTTGCGAAAAAGTGATTACAGATATATTATTCAAAGTATTGTCCTTCGCTAGCGACGACTTTTTCCCATCTTTGCGGCAATTTTCGGATCCCGGCTCGAAAAAAGTAATCCTCTTTTGACGCTATCTATGAAGCAATCCATTTTTTGAAATCTTCGAAGGATTGAAAATGTTGATCTGCCAGGCCATGAGCTATCGAACGGATTAGGTGGAAGTCAGAAGGGGCGACATCTGGGGAATACGGCGGATAGGGCAAGACTTCCCATTTGAGCGTTTCCAGGTACTTTTTGACCACTTTTGCGACGTGAGGCCGAGCATTATCGTGTTGGAGGATGACTTTGTCATGTCGCTCTTGATATTGTGGCCGCTTTTAGTTTAGCGCGCGACTAAGGCGCATCAGTTAATCCTTCGTATGTAAAGAGCCAAAAAAGGGATTTCATGGAACAAATTATTTTGAATTCATTTCGTTTGCATTTGTTTTTGAAGCCGCAAAATGAATGACCCAGTAAAAATAGTTTATTTTTAGTCTATGAAGCAAAAGCCCGATGCTCACTCCATTCCGAAATGCGTGTACTTTGATCTATGGCGTGCTCACCAAAAATATTTACAAAAATATTTCCATATATACACAGAAGCTGTGAGGCGTTCATACGATTATTCCTTTCGATTAGACACATTTTTCTTTACGAAACCCAACCTTAGGCGTATCCATATGAATGCATGATCGTGATATGCCGGCAGACTTATCAGCATTCTGCTGTAGACGGCGTCGTTGTCAGTCATTAAAGGTCAATTCCTTAATCGCGAGCCGCACAGTTGAAAAACTGAACAACGCTTGGAAATGCTTGTGTGTATTATTCAATTCGGAATATCAGTGGATCGCAAGCGCAACACTAAACAGTCAACATTTAGCCATCACGAAGGAAGCTACTTTGGCGGGCGTGCATAAATTTCGATTATTGAGATTTGAAAACAATTTAAAAAATTAAGTGTATATATATGTAGATATACAGTTGAATAATTTTGTGATTATATTAATTAGAGATATATAAAATAAATTAAAAAACTAGCAAACAAACTGCACTGACATGGGTTAGTTTACAGTTAATGAGAAAGAGTTTGAAATATGTATTTGAATTAATTTTTTTAATTCAATATAATTTCATTAGTTTAACCATACTTAATACTTACAAATCCACAGCGAATGCACCGAGCAGCAAATTACGCCTCGAATCTCTCGATCGAATCGTCAGCATTCCTTTGGTCGAGACCAGTTTCAAACGCATCGAAAACTTATACGACAAAGTCAAACATAATAATCGACTTTTCAATTGGTATTTCGAAACAGCCGAGTCTACCATCTTTGCCGCCTATGAATCCGTACAGCCGGCGGTTAAACTCTTCGAAGCGCCTATAAAACAACTCGATGGCGTAATGTGCAAAAGTCTGGACTTATTAGAGCAACGTATACCGTTAGTGTATTTGCCACCCGAAATGGTAAGTACTTACTCGTAAGCGTTGTGTATATATGTATATATTTAAATTAATAGCAGTATGACTTCAAGATGTATTGGAATACAAAGGAATATATGTCGGATCATCTGGTGCGACCAGTGCTGAAGCGTGCAGATTCCGTCAAACAAATGGGTAATACCGTTTTGGAGAGTTCACTGACAACCTATGCTGCACAACGTCTCGATGAAGCCTTCACGGTTGGTGATAAATTTGTTGATAAATATTTGGTGCCCATACCCGGCGATCAAGTCGATGGTGAGTATGAGAGAAATATATATTGACGTGTATGTACATATATTCAGAAGAATTTGATATACTCGAAATTAATTCAAGAAAATCATTTAGATTAACAGTTGTACATCCTGTGTTTGTTTTAATAAATACATATATACTTAAAAAAAAATTTAATAAATTATATATAAAAGCATATATGTATTAAGACAGATAAATATTTGCACTTACAAAGTATTTAAAGCCCCAATGGTTATTTGTAATAAATCCAACAATTTTCAAATGTCGAGGTTATCACGTTCTCTAGGCGCATACATATGTACATACATACACATGCATATGTACAAAATTGTTATGTATAATTTAATTCAGTTGAATACTATTTCCACTGTTTTAAATAAAAATAAAAGAAAAAAGATGCCAAACTGATAAGCAAGTAACATGAGCATGAGGTGAAAGCAGTGATCTTTACTATAGCTTGAAATAAACACACACATACATATCTATATAAATATGTAAAAGACGCTGATTTGTAACATGTGACGCTCATTTATAAAAAAAAATTCCATATCTCAATTGGAAAAGTTTAATTTTACCCCGCCATAGAATAGCTTGCAGAGAGTTTAACGGTTGCACGAGTTATGTTACTTCATAATCGATTTAGCTATGTCTGTCTGTTCGTCGGATGGTGTATACAATAAAGCAAGTAAAGATCAGGTTATTTTAATAAAGGCTGGCTCATACCTTGATCCTTGGATCACAAGTACGGACGCTACTGAAATTACAGGAAATCGGGTCAAGTTAGCGCCCACTTCTCCTAATAAGCCCAACGAATACTCTCCACCCGCCCAACAGACTCGAGAAGCGGCATTTGCAGTTAGTTAGCTCAAAATGCTACTCAAAATGCCTGTCATTGGTCGAGAAATAGATCTACCGCCCCTGTAGAAGATCTTCTATTTTTTTATCGCTCCTTAGACTTCGAATCGAATATTTAAGGACTTCATTGAGAGAACTTGATCTTATTTAATTGCAGTCGCCCCTCGGCAGGGAATGTCAACCCCTCCGAGTGTAATCAGCTGTAGGCCCCTCCATTTGTTGAAAAAACAGCAAGACGCAAAACCACAAATTGGAGGAGGAGCTCGGCCGAAAATCGCTACAAAGGTTACCAAGCGCCAGTTATATTATATATACATATTTAATTAATAAAATGGTTCCACAAACAGAGATTCCCCTTTATATGTATGTAACTAAGCTTTGGTCCTTCTGAGAAAGTCAGATAACCCGCCTGGCGTTTAGTCGTTTAATATATGTAAATATCAAACGAGTATTTAATTTCTAGTTCCACTCGCATATAGTCTTCCTTAACTGTTTTTATTTATATTTATTATTATTTATTCTAATTTATTAGTATCTCATTATTGTATACATCTACAATTCAGCTCCCATCGAGGATGACAATAATGCTGGTGCTGCGAACGAGAAAGGCGCCATTAAGGCAATTCATCACGGACAACGTTTCTCTCGCAAACTCACACGCCGTTTAACACAGCGCACCTTGGCCGAGGCGAGAGCACTGAAGAAACAAAGCAAGGAAGCCATAAATATACTCATCTATGCAGCAGAGTTGGTAAGCTACATAACAGTTATCTAAGAATTAGTTTAAAATAAAACCAATATAATTCGTGAAAAATCTGAATATAAAAAAATTCCCATGAGAAGAAGCTCATTGTATCCTCAAATATATGCCATTGATAATGTATGCCGTCCCTCAATAGCTTCACGAATTCCATCTTTGAAGTCTTGATGACGTTGGCATTCATCATTCACGTGATCGCAAAGTGTTAAATCACAAAATCTCGGTGGCCAATTGCGATCACCTCTACTAAAGATAGCATGATCTGGAAACGTTTGCCTAAAAAGATCGATGGTTTCGTTGCGTCGAACAAGATGTTGACACTAAACGTAGTTCAGATCAATACCATCCAATTACTTACTCACTCTACTCGCGTAGACACCGCTTAGGCGTTTATAGCCGAGTTAACAACATTACGCCATTCGTTTCTCCTTTTTGCTGCTTGGTGCCAATTGGAAATACTAACTTTAGCCAGATCCTTCTCTAGTTGGTCTTTCCAACGGAGTGGAGGTCTTCCCCTTCTCTGCTTCCACCGGCGGGTACTGCATCGAAAACCTTCAAAGCTGGAGTATTCGGATCCATTCGGACCTCATGACCTAGCCAGCGTAGCTTCTTGACTCGCTGAACTATATCAATTTCGCCGTATAACGCGACAGCTCATCGTTTCATAGTCTGCGATAATCGCCATTGCCAACTCTCAAATGACCATAAATCTTACGTAAAACCTTTCTCTCGAAAACTCCTAACGCCAACTCATCAGTTATTGTCATCGTCGATGCTTCTGCACCATAAAGCAAGATGGGAACGTTGAGGGACTTGTAGAGTTTGGTTTTCGTTCGTCGGAAGAGGGGAAGAGGACTTTACTTTTCAATTTCCTACTAAGTCCAAAGTAGCATCTGTTGGCAAGAGTGATTTTGCGTTGGATTTCCAAACTGACATTGTTGTTGGTGCTAATACTGGTTCCTTAATAGTCGAAATTATCTACGACTTCAAATTTATGACTGTCAACAGTGACGTGGGAGCCGAGTGGCGTATGCGATGACTGTTTGTTTGATGACAGGAGATATTTCGTCTTGTCCTCGTTCCCTTCACTTCTTTATCAAGCTTGGAGAAAGCAAAACGGCGCGGTTGTTGAGGCCAATAATATTAATATCGTCGGCGTACGTCAGCAGCTGTACACTCTTCTAGAAGATTTTACCTTCTCTATTCAGCTCTGCAGCTCGTATTATTTTCTCCAGCATCAAATTAAAGAAGTCACACGATAAGGAGTCACCTTGCCTGAAACCTCGTTTGGTATCGAACGGCTCGAAGAGGTCCTTCCCGATCCTGACAAAGCTTTTAGTGTTGCTCAAGGTCAGTTTACGTAGCCGTATAAGTATTGCGGTGATACGAAATTCAGACATAGCGGGGTAAGGGCATCCTCTAGTCCTGCTGTCGAAGGCGGCTTTAAAGTCGACGAAGAGGTGGTGGGTGTCGATCCTCTTTTCACGGGTCTTTTCCAAGATTTGCCGCATGGTGAATATCTGCTCAATGGTTGACTTGCCAGGTCTAAAGCCACACTGATAAGGTTAGAGGGGCTTTAGTCTGTCACACAATACGCTTGATACGACCTTATAGGCGATTTTAAAGAGGTTTATCCCACGATAATTGGTGCAGACTGTGGGATCCCCTTTTTATGGATTGGGCAGAACATACTTAAATTCCAATTGTCGGGCATGCTTTTGTTCGGCAATATTCTGAAAAGAAGCTGATGCATTTGAATTCTTTGAAAAGTTCTGCCGACAGGCCTTCAGCTCCAGCCGCTTTGTTGTACAATAAAATTTCAAATAATTTTTATGCATTTCAAGGACCCAATCCACAAAGACACGTTCTGTTGATGATCGACAGGCTGATAGTTTTTTTTATGAGAAGCTTTTATTTCATGTCAGAAATACATGCGGAGGGTACCGCAATTAGAAAAAATAATTTTCTATAGTTTTGGATATTGGTAGAACTATGACCCGAATGGCAATAGGAAATGCTAACTACTCAGCTATTGCGGTTTGACATTGCTCTTTAGAAGGCTGGTTTGTATCTTCTCTTCTGGGGGGTTTCACTTGATGCGGGGGTCAAGGTGTTAGCCAAAGAGTTCAGCGGATTGTGTGGTTGTTTACGTATTTTTGTGCTGCGATCTCAAACTCTTAAAGAAATCATATAGATTGAAATCCCATTAAAATGTGCGAATATTTGAATTTTTTCACGTTTAGCTTTTTTTACCAGGAAGTGAAGCTCCGTAGTGTACTCTCAAGAAGCACCTTGCATTAAGCATTAAATTTAAAAATATCAGAACAAAATGGTTTACTCTTTTACAGATTGCCACCGATCCAAAGTTGGCTTTGCAAAAAGCTAAGGAGCTGTGGGGCTATCTGAGTGCTGATGAGCCAGAGAATCAAGCGCGTCCAGTTAGTTTGGAACAGCTGATTGTACTTATTACACGCGAATCGGCTCGTCGGCTTGTGCATCTTGTCAATTTTAGCGCACATATCGCTGCGAACATACCAAAGTATGTATAATTTATTTACACATACATATGTATGTACGTAGATATCATATCTGTAACTTTCATTTTTCATGCTTCTCCACATTCAGGACAGTTTCACACACCACAACCGAGGTCGTGCATCACTTAATCTATTACAATAATCGCATTATAAGCATAACAAAACTAGATAAAGTAAAGAACATGTCCAAAGAAGAAGCTGAATCTTTAATTAAGCGCGCATTGTCTTTCTACGGCAGTATGCAGATTTTGAGTAACAGCTACTTGGTAAGTATCAAATAATGCTTTTCTCAAAACTTTCTTCTAAATTATATTTCATTTCAATAGGAACGTTTGGCAACTTTCCTTTCGGGACGCATTGAAGCGGAAAAGGTCACTATAACCGCTGTCTCGTCCACATCGGGCACTTCCAATGCTAGGCGACGTATTGAGCCACAGGACAACAATGTTCCCGCTCCTCATATAAATGGCGTTTACTGAGAAATAGAAATTTTTATTGCAATCGTATTTTTATTTCAAATCATCGACTTTTATTTTTGCTTTCATATCCCCACTAATTATTAAGTTGTTAAAATGCAGAGCAGATAATTTTAGGGATCGTCGAATGTGTTGTTGATGCAAGTATTTACCCACATTTTTACTCTACTTAGCTTTTTCATTTATTCCAAACAGTAATTCTCAAATACATTTTTTTAAAAAAAGAAAGATTTTTTATTTAAAATGTAAAGATCATAATAGACGGAAGAGGGGCCGAGAATCGTTTGGTTCTAGACTGATAGCACTACCAACCTCCATGCACAAGTCTATAGTCTTGAAAATTTATTGTTCCACGGTATTCTATAGGTCAACGCTTTAGCAAAAAGGTTTTCACTCTCTAAGCATTGATTTCGAAAGACGGTTATCAGCATTGTGATCTGTCTTAATTTTTCTTCAATTGTAGAAAGGAACAGTTTAAAGTCGGCGTCCAGGGGCTCATGGATTTTTATTATATATAATTGGCGCCTTGTAACTGCTGAGCGATTTTCCGCCGTGTTCCTCCGTCTCCGAAGATAAGATGGTTTTTTATGAGGAACTTTTACTTCATGTCTCGGAGGACTTGACATTCCCTTCCGAGGGGCGTACGCAAGTTAGTCTAGGGTGAACCGGTTGGCTCCAGCGAGTCTCCCTTAGACGATGCTACGCCCATGGTAATAATAGTAAAAGATATGCTGCATACTACCATAGCAGTACTGGAGACACAATAGAAGAATATTGCTTTTTTATTTACACTTTTATGTCACACTTTTGCCAGTTTGAGCATTTGAGTGTGCTTCACTTCATACAACTGGTAAGGCCACATTTACATATGTATATACGTCCTATTCTAAAATATTCTAAAATGACCCCTCTTAAGTTAGTTCGTCCGCTCTCTCATAGCCTCCGATTCCTTTGTGATCTGACCCCTGTGCAATCTTTTGAAGGAAAAGTTCTAACAGCCGTCACATAAATGTGTGGCTGAACGTTTGCTACCAGAGCTCCTAGGTAACCCACCTTTACCAAAATCAGATGAGCTAAACAGCATAAGCCTACAAAATCAGTAAAAGGTGGGCTTTGAAACAATAAAAAAAAGTATTTTCGGGAGTGAAACAGCTATTTTATAAACTAGCTAGTTTTCTCCCACGAAGTATCATTTCTTTTAAATTGGCGATTTCGAAATTTCAGCGATGTCGGTTTAGCTGTTTTGGAGTGTATTGCTTTTAGGTTGTCCTATAAAATAATTTCCCTCTAAGTTCAAATATTTTAGCGAAAATGTCTAAGCGTTTCAAAGTTTTTTTTTTGTAAAATCTTTACAATATATATGTAGATAACTTTCCAATTTCATTTATATACATTTTTTTAAGCAAACCTCAAGCAGTGTCAATTTTGACACCGTGTATATGTTTAATTATAATATTTAGTCTTGGTAGTGTCGCACAGTGTAGTCATCGTATTTGTTTCACATGACATACGTAAATATAGTTCATAAAAGTTAAACAACCAAAATGGATGAAAATATACAAAAATTGCAAAATTATATTATTTCTCCAGAATTACCAATACATAATCCATTGCCAGAGATCATACCGCGCCGATATAATGAGTCGCGTCTGCTACACCTGCCAAAAGGTTCGGCCAGCACCAAACTGGTGCCACGTAGAGACTTCATAACCGGCGGGATTATTGAATTTGTTGAGGTAGATGTGGAGGATGTTGGAGCCAACGCATGTAATTCAACTTCAATGCGGCGAGAACCTGGACTGTTGGAAGAATCAACTCGGGGTTCAGCTATGAATTTCCCATTCTGGCCGGGTGGTTTCGACGAGCCGCCACGCGAGATAAAAAAATTGGACGTAGATTTGGATTTGGGTTCAGAGTTGCTAACAGTGCCGCCAGGATTTCAAAAAGGCTATAACTTCGAAGACACCAAACTGGAATCACAATTTGGAGGTATGGTTATTAGCAAAAGTGATAACGTCAACCTATTAGAGAATTTGGAAAAAGATTTGGATGTGCAAGAATGGTTAAAGTTGAGCGAAGAACCAGTAAAATCGGATTCCTTAAATAATTTCAACGATTCAATGGACTTTAAAGATATAGAAGAACATATTATGAGTGCAGATCTTAAGCCAGTTTTAGAAATATCGAATGCTAATACAAAATCTGCATTCAACAGTGAATGGGCGGAGATGGTAGATATTACACATCCAATTGACAATTTTAAGGAAAAAATTCCATGTCCTGCTATGACGTATCCATTTGAGTTAGATGTTTTTCAAAAACAGGCCATACTCAAGTTGGAAGAGCGTCAGTATGTTTTTGTAGCAGCGCACACATCTGCGGGAAAAACTGTGGTTGCTGAATATGCAATTGCCTTATCACAAAGAGATCTGACACGTACAATTTACACCTCACCTATAAAAGCTTTGTCTAATCAAAAATACAGGGATTTCAAAAAGACTTTTAAAGACGTTGGATTGATTACCGGTGATCTACAGATTGATCCAACTGCTTCCTGCTTGATTATGACCACCGAAATTCTTCGCTCAATGCTCTATTGTGGTAGTGAAATAACAAGGGATCTGGAATACGTAATTTTCGACGAAGTGCATTATATAAACAACCCTGAACGTGGACACGTATGGGAGGAGGTAAATCTGTTTTCAGCTTCCATAAACCAAATAAAGATTTTATGTATTAATTTCTCAGGTAATAATATTACTTCCTGACCATGTAAATATTATCATGTTAAGTGCCACTGTACCAAACACCATGGAACTGGCCGATTGGGTCGGTAGCACCAAAAAAAGAAAAGTTTATGTTATAAGTACACTTAAACGACCGGTACCACTTATGCACTACCTCTACACTGGTTGCGGTGGCAAAAGCAAAGACGACATATTTTTGTTAGTCGATGCTAATGGAAAATTTCTGCAGGAAAACTACGTAAAAGCAGTAGAGCGCAAAAAAGAAATGCAATCCAAATCAAAGACTGGTCAAGGAGGCAGTGGTCCGCCAGCAAAAAATTTTGTAAGCGCTAAGCAAGATCAAAACATGTGGATAGGACTCATAGACTTTCTAAAACGGAACAATAAAATGCCTGTAGTAGCATTTACCTTATCTCGTAATCGTTGTGATATTAATCTGCAGGTATGATCTATAATTTAGGTTTAAGTTTATGAAATTTATGCAAAACTCTTCTTTCATGTTTAGGCTCTGCAATCAGTCGACTTGAACACAGCACGCGAAAAGGGTTCTGTACAAAAATTCTTCCAACAATGTTTGCAAAAGCTGAAACCCCCAGATCGTCAATTGCCACAAGTGCTTACAATGAAGGACTCTCTTGAACGCGGTATAGGTGTACATCACAGTGGCATACTGCCCATACTTAAAGAGATTGTCGAAATGCTCTTCCAATCGGGATTAGTTAAACTACTCTTTGCGACAGAAACATTTGCTATGGGCGTTAATATGCCAGCGCGTACTGTAATTTTTGATTCTCACCGAAAATATGATGGAATGGAAGTGCGTAATCTAAAGCCTGGCGAATACATACAAATGGCTGGTCGTGCTGGTCGTCGTGGACATGATGAGAACGGTACTGTTATTTTACTATGCAAAGCACAAGTGCCACCGGCTATGGACTTGCGCTCAATGATACTCGGTCAACCAGAAAAGTTGCAATCACAATTTATCTTACGTTATGCTGTTATATTGACTTGTTTGCGCATTGAAAGCATCAAAGTCGAGGACATAATACAGTTCAGTTTCAAAGAATTCAATCAAAAACAACAAATACCATTGCAAAAAAAGCAATTAGAGGTGGCACAAGATAAATTCTCGCAATTACCCGAATTGGGTGAGCATCTGCAGCCATTGTGTAAATTTTATGAGCTAGCCCAAGAGTATCTCACGGAAAGACAGCGCTTAATGGTATGTTTGTAGTTGTTAATTTATTATGTAACTAATGTTTTTTTTTTATTTGGTAGAAATACTTGTTGTCCCAACCTAAAATAACTAAAGAACTGAAAGTGGGACGTGTACTTGTGGTTACACAAGGTAGACACTATAATAAATTGGGTATTATACTCTCCATAAAATCCACTCCCGGTAAGGATACAGTCTACAGACTTTTAGTACTCGAACATCAGTTTGGCGCAAGTGAGCAGAAAGTAAGTTTGAATGAAATTTTAGAACTAACTTTTTTAACATATTTGAAACGTATAATCTGTTTTTATAAGGAACTGCTGAATCGGGGTGAAATGTATTACAAAATAGTTTCTCTAACTCCACAAAACAAGTTCTTCCAACCTGAAGGCATCGGCGGTCATTGCGTTGTAGATGCAAAAGCTGCCGATATTGTTGAGATCACAAAAACGACCATTAAAGTTGACGGTGATGTCATAATACGCAATTGGGAACAAAGGCAAATTGAACGATTTAGAGACTCACCACCAGGTGCTACCGTCGTTAAAGCTGTAAGCGAGTTGCAGCAGCTGAATCAGAACTACATCGATAAACCGGAAACATTAAAGTTCATGAATCTTTCTAAAGAAGTTAACATTAGTGAGGAGAATGAGTTAGCGCAAATTCGTTACACCGAACATTTATGGAAACAGCTAATAGCCTTATTACCTCATACGAATATCGCTGGTTTTGAGCAAGAGTTCGCTACCGTTTTTGAACGAAAAGTGCTGGAGCGTCGCATTGAAGAGTTAAAGTTTAAAAACTCTACTAAAAATCTTTCTCTTTACCCGGACTATTGCAATAAATTAGAAGTGTTACGTGCATTAAAGTACATTGATGATTTAGATGAGGGTAATATACTTTTGAAATATATATGTTGACATGTCTATTTTACGTACAATGAATTTTATTACAGTAACTTTAAAAGGAAAAGTCGCTTGTGAAATGGGGCAGAATGAACTGTTGATAACCGAGTTAATTCTATGTAATATGTTCAACGACCTAGAACCAGCAGAAATCGCCGCTCTCCTATCGAGTCTTGTCTTCCAGGGCAAAATTCAAGGAGAGCCTGTAATACCGGAAAAGTTGAAAAAGGTGTGGTATACATTTATTTATATAAGCTTCATTATATAACTTCCGTCTAACTTTTTAGTGCGTAAAGGAGTTCGAGGAAATCAACGATACAATCTTAGCTGAAGAATTGCGTCATAAAACAATTATAGAATCTGATAGTCGTCTGAATTTTGGCTTGCTAGAGGTTGTATATGAATGGGCTCGCAATAAGGTATGTTCTTCAAATGTGAATTCATTAATTTTCGTAAACGTAAATTTTTTATTTATTTTAAATACATCAAGCCGTTCGCTGAAATAATGAAATTAACTGAAGTGCAAGAAGGCATAATTGTGCGTTGCATACAACAATTGGACGAAACACTACGAGATGTAAAAACTGCCGCCATACGTATTGGTAATCCAGCCTTGCAAAGCAAAATGGAAGACGCATCTACTGCCATTAAAAGAGATATTGTTTTTACCGCCAGTTTGTATACAGCTTTATAAATTCCATGGTTAATACTTTAAATGAAATAAAACACACAGTTTTATAAAATTAACTGAAGTATTTATGTGTAATTTGTAGTTTTAAATTATATTATAGGCGTGTATTGTACAAAACACTTTTTTTTTATAAAATATGTAGTCAGATTTCTATTTTCCTTTTTATGTGCAAAAACAAAATGACCCTCGCAATTCGCTGAACAAACTTATTTAGCGTAAAAATACAGTTATGTGTATACAATCTCTACAGTTTTATCTTTAATACGCTTAAATAATATGCAATATGATTGACAAAATTGCAGTACATAAAAAAGGGTATGTCAAACTGTACGTAATATTTCATTAAAATAATGCATTTATGTTTGTGTAAATATGTCTATCGTGATTCAGGCTTAAACTTAGGAGGAACAATCATGCCATGCCTGCGTTTCTGTTTTTTAGACTTTTTAGATTTACTGGCACCAGACTGAAAGTCATGCCAACTATTTACACGATTTTGACGGGATTCTTCGAAATTCTTTTGCCACTCTAAATCGGATTTTCGCTTTTCTTCTTCCTCTATTTCGGCCTCCCGTTTACGTTTTCGCTCTTCCTGGTCACGTTGATCTAATTGTTGTCGGCGACGTTCCATGTCCGCAAATAGTTTCATAACCATAACATATATGGCATGTTTGTACTTTTCCGGATCATCTTCGGGAATGCTTTCGAAACCTTTACTTTCTTTACGTAATTTCTTTCGTTTTTCTGCAATCTGTTAATTATGGTCTATGAAAGTTTTGCTTATAATAAAAATAATTTATATCTTACCATATGATCGGTCCTTTCTTTCGCTTCTTCGTAGACGTCCAAACATTTCTTGCGCGTAACATCATTTTCCAGCGTTTTCCAAGCACGATTTATGATGTCAAATGCAGTCTGTGCACGTTCCTTGTTGTCCTGGTTCTTATCCGGATGGACCAATATAGACAGTGTGCGATAGCGTTTCTTTATTTCTTCAACTGTAGCGCTAGGCTCTATTTGTAGCACCTCGAACGGATTGAGATTGAAGTATGTTGAACCTGGACGAAGTAAACGATCAATTTGTTGAGAAGAGGTTAGAACAGAATCGCGTTTTTCAATTTCTTTAACCTGTGAAAATGTCCAAATATGATTAAGTTGAGGTGATTTTATTTTACAATATTCTGTTTAATTCTATGAACGGACATGCTGTTCTTTTTTTTTTTTTGGTATATGCCACTGTGAACCTGTCAACAATAGTTAAGCATATACACATGCATACATATGATGTTTATAATTTTGTAATAATCGCCGACATTGTTATTAATCCCCGAATTCCTGTTTGTTTCATACCTTTTACCATCAGGATTATAACAGCGCGTAGGAGTATTAGTTTGGCTGATTTCGAATATATACTTGCCTCTGTATAAAAAGAATCAAATGATGTATCCTTTGATGTGGTGGGGCGTTCATTAAAAGCCATTTTCTAAGTTTCACAAACAGTTCTTCGGCGACACTAAGAACGTAATTACACCCAGCGAAGTTGTAGATTGTTAGATTTCCTTATTTTTTTCAACAGAAATATCTTTCCACAATACAATAATCTTTTATTTACCCAAAAAAATCGGCAAGCAACTGTCAAACTTACTAAAGGGTGTGCATGAAATTCAAAAAATTAATTTAGAACTTTTAGTCAGATATAAGTATCACTTTTTAGGTTATGATAAATTCAGAGGGATAACTAGTTCGAGCGTGAACAATAAATATAACCCAGATTTGTGCATAAGGCTTGAAATTGTTATTTTTCTTAAATATAATTTCTTGTTAATTTTTGTGATAAAGAAAAATTTTGCCAACCGGCAACATTATCAAAAGTTTGACGTTTACTTGTAGTACGCTTTCTATAACTTTCGTAACAAAACTTTAATATCATGCATAAAGTGCTAAAATTTATTTCATCTGAAGTCTCTTCGAAGGTAATATCGTCTACTCGACGGACTTACAGTTGTAATCAATATTCCAGTGCTAATATAATCGAAATGGGTAGCACATCAAAATTATTAGGTAGCGAAAACTCAATCGTTTGGATGGATCTTGAGATGACAGGGCTAAACTCGATCACTGACAAAATAATCGAAGTTGCATGCCTTATTACCGACAAAGATTTGAATGTTTTGACGGAGGGTTTAAACTTTGCTATAAAACACCCTCCACGTGTTTTTGAGGAAATGAACGAGTGGTGTATAAAACAGCATAACAAATCTGGATTAGTTCAACGGTGCTTGGAATCAGATATAACGTCAGACCGTGCAGAACCGTTAATTTTAGAATATCTACAAAGGCATATCCCAAAGGGTAAATGCCCCTTGGGTGGTAATTCGATATACATGGACCGACTATTTTTACGCCAACAAATGCCATCTGTTGATGAATACCTACATTACCGCATTGTTGATATCTCGAGTATTAAGGAATTATGTAGTCGATGGAGACCGGATATTTTAAAGTCGGCTCCCAAAAAGCGATTTCTACATAGGAGCTTGGAAGATTTGGAGGATAGCATTGAAGAACTTATATATTATCGTGAACATTTTTTTAAAACTAATTAAATTACCGATTGAATGAAAATTGCATGTGTCTCATTATTTACATATATTAATTTCTTTAACGTTATGGGATATCGTTGTAGTAGGGATCAAATATACTTAGCGGGCAAATACCTTACGAGTTGCGGTAAATCTGATGAACAAACTGTATCTGTAATGCAGATGCATAAAGTAAGGTCAATGATTGATATACTATTAAATTTTTTTTCTGACGTCACACTAACAAACTTTTTGCTCGTGTACGATAGTTTTTGAATTAAAATGAAATGAACTAACCACTGCAGACTACCTCGAAGATTATACAGTACCACAATCATTGGGTTCGCCGTATTTAATTAATTTTTTATAACAAAAAGCCTTCAAATTAACTTTATGGTTTATTTATTGTAAATTGTCTAGCTCTGCTTATTATATGTGTTATATGAGTGTGTTTAAGTTTTTGATTACGAATGTCAAAGTAAAGCATAATGTTTTATAACAGATTTTTAGAACAAAAAAAAAAACCTGGGTACTCTGTGTTTGAAATCAACATTGCAGATTGTGTGAAAATTCGCTTACTTCATATTCATCGACAAAAACATTTAAAACAAAATGGAGCGAATGGATGTCGATTCAGAAACGAATTTAAATACTTCACCGTCATGCAGCCATCATCCAAATTGCAGATCAGCTGTGTCGTATGCGAACATAATGGCTGGGCCAGGAACTATACCATCAGTCACCGTCTCTCTCCACCCATTGGTAATATTGAATATTTCCGAACATTGGACTCGAATCCGTGCACAGGCGTCGGAGATCTGCCAGGTGTTCGGTGCATTGATTGGAAAACAAACAGGTCGTAATATAGAGGTGATGAATTCTTTTGAATTGAGGGTGGATAGAGCAGGAGAAGATGTTATCATCAATCGAGAATATTACCAAACAAAGGAGGCACAATTCAAACAGGTTTGTGCATTTGTTATCACTAAAAAGTTATATTTGAATTATGGAAAACCTTTTACAATTAGGTGTTTAGCGATTTAGATTTTATTGGCTGGTATACAACTGATGAATCTCCCACTCCTCTCGACATTGAAATTCAAAAACAAATGTCTGAAATTAATGAGTGCCCCATTTTGCTGCAATTAAACCCGTTATCGCGTAGTGTTGACCAGCTTCCTTTAAAGCTTTATGAATCCACCATCGAATTGGTGGATGGGGAGCCAACGATGTTGTTTGTTCCTCTAACCTACACATTAGCGACTGAAGAAGCAGAGCGTATTGGAGTCGACCATGTTGCGCGTATGTCAACAAACGAAACAGGAGAAAAATCAGTAGTTGCTGAACATTTAGTGGCGCAAGATAGTGCTATAAAAATGTTAAACAAGCGTATTCAAATAGTTTTAAAATATATCAAAGACGTTGAAAGTGGAAAACTGCCACCAAATCAGGAAATATTGCGAGACGCATACGCACTAAGCCATCGTTTACCTGTGATGAAAGGTCCTGCTTTCCAAGAAGAGCTGTACACTCAATGCAACGACGTTGCCCTTATTAGTTATTTAGGAGCAATGACCAAAGGTTGTAACGACATGAATCATTTCGTCAACAAATTTAACGTACTTTATGACCGTCAAGGATCTGGACGGCGCGCTCGCGGCTTATATTTCTAAATTATAATTTTTCCAACAGAAAATAAATGAACGGCTTATAAAAAAATATATTGTAATTTTTATAGGAAAAATATGTTTATTCTCCTTTATTGAACTACAATACACAGAGAAGTAAAGAAATCTTCTCAAAAGAATAAACTGTGCTTATAACGATTTTAGGCTTACATCAATTAATTTAAACAAATGCACAATAATGTTCACCATATTCTACGACACACATAATCATAAAAACAACTAATTGAATTACCATTTAATAGAATTCCATTATTTGACTTTCTTATATTTAATTACAATTAAAGAGGATCTGCGTATGATTGTTGTAGCGTATGAACAGCTTCGGTACAAAGAAAAAAACTTTTAATTTAAATTTGATTCGCAAAAGTGATAACTTTAATAAACTCTTATGTGATATCAAACTCTATATACCTAAAAGCTTTTCAGTGATTGTAGTCCTCCAATTTTATTGTGGTATATTGTTGTAAGAACTCCGTTTCTAGTGGATGTATTTCCTTAGCAGGTATCACTAAGGAATGCAAAGGAGCACCAAGGTCGGTTTGAGTCATTTTACGCAATGTGTTTACAACTATTCTTTGGCTATCATGACCAACACGCGCCAGACCCACGCACAGTGACATCTCATTTAAAATAGTATTTCGTTCTAGTGCGTCTTTCTTGTCTACGATTGTCATTATTTGTTGGGCAGCTTCAGCTACGGTCATAAAACGGGGCGGCTGGTATTCCTTTCGTCGCCGCGTAAGCGATTCTGGTGTTGGCTCTTTGACTTTGATATCAAGCAGGCAAAGAGTATGCATGTTATTTAGTCTATTAAGCCTAATTTTATCATAAAAACTATCAGGCTTCCATGTTTCATCCCAATACGGTATCGATACAGTTTCGCCAAACTTATAAAGCTGTAGACCACAGCATCCAATTGCATTCATAATGGATGCATTATGAATGACTTTATAAGGTACTTTTTTCTCTTTGGCGCGAAGTATAAAATCAGTATGTGTAGTGGCACCGAATGGGTCACCTACTACTAATAATGCAACATCTTCTTCACCAGCACCCGCCAGTATTTCATCAGCACCTTGTTCTACTAAATCGCGATCAGCTAGTAAAAGCGGCCGGCCATAGAAAGCTTCCTAAGAAAATTACAAATAAAAAAATATTTGTTATATACAAAATCAATACACAGAAAAAAATCATTTACCAGCTCTTCTTGCGGACATCCAAGTATAGAAGTATACATTTCCAGGTACACACGCGCGCAGCGTTTTACAATTTCAAGGCCCTTTACTGTAATGTCAGTGGGGTCGCCAAGTCCCAAACCGATCAAATAGAACATCTTACAGCTTTCTTCCACGTAATACTTATATATTTCTGCAATTATTGGCCCCAAGTCTTTTTACAACAACCTGCTGCTTATGCTATAATCACGTCGATATAACCGCAATCACACTTCTACACCTTACTTGAACCTGCACTTTTCCCGCGCTAACATATACACACACCAAAACAGATAATATTGTATTTGTTTTTATGCCTGACGAATTTTTCGCAATTCAGCCTTGCAAATGTTCTTGGAGTTATAATGTACACTCTTATGTCGATTTTGTGGACGCACGTGCTGCTATTGCTAAAATGAGAATAAAAATTCCAAACAATTTTGCTCAACTTGCAGAAAAAATATTTTGCTCATTAGCTGTCATATTTAGCAGAGTTGCAAAAAGAATGAAGTAACGGTATTCACTAAGTGACCGCTCAATATTTCCTATTCTTATGTTAGGGTCACCCGTTTTTTAGAACACTTAAAATTCCAATTATACTTTGTAACGATTTTTCTTAATCTCGAAGACAATGCTTTCATGCATTTAGAATAAGAAACACCAGATATGCTCGCTGATGACTTTTCGATCGTCGTGTTGCCTTATCGTATCGGGGACGCTCTTCAGATTCATTTACAACTCTCAAACTTCTTTTTCCAGACACCAGTCATTTTCCTTCGGTCTCTGTGATGTTTGTGCTTAATCCGGAGTACTTTCCGGCCGCTGTAGGAAGAGCCATGTTCAAAACTGAGCGACGCTTTTCCACACTCCAACACTCTTAGCTTTAGGTCTATCTTCATATCTTGACGAAGGTGCAAGTCCCACCAGATTATAATTTTATCAGTATTCTCTGCTGCTTTTATTCCCCATTATGACTTCACATGTTATTTCTCCCGAAACCTTGGTATCCTCACTAGTTGCGGCTCCCAGCCTTTCCCCCGGCAATGGCATTACTTCTTTGGTGATCAAGTCAGATCGAATATAGGGTACGATGCGTCCGTATCCGCAGTAAGTATTTGCTCATGTCCATCCACGTATCCACATTGCTCGCTTTTCTTCCCATTTGCGAGAAGGAGATTGTGGGGCATACTTCCTCTGCTGTGCTATACCAACCTCTTTCCTGTCTGGTGGTGCTCATTTTACGGCCATGGGCAAAGTGTCTTACTTTTCTTTAGTTGCAGCAAATCCTGTATTTGCGATTGCCGAATTAATGCAAATCCGTCTTTGATGAATTTCAGCGTTTCCAGAATATGCTTTATCATATCTTGTGGTTAGAATGCTTCCTCCTTTAGCTGGTCAGCCGTGCAATTGGCTGGAATGTCTCTGTATCCGGGTTAGCAGATCATGACAGTGTTTCATTTCAAAGTTCTTGTACTGTTTATAGCCACGATTGACGTGGTATACTTCGGGGGCTTCCATGATTACATTAAGTTCTGCTTGAAGAACGCTGCGATGCTCCGTTAATCGTATGCTCATATTAATTGAGAACATTTATTTTCGAGAAAAATGTGTGGGAGACAAAACCAAATGCGGAGCAGCTGACTTAAAGTTTGAATCAAAATTTCGATGGCTTTTGAAGGAGTCGATCGCAGAGTTTCTATTACGAGAATAGCAGCGGATCTCTAAACTGTTGATCCTAAAAACAGTATTTGCGGGATACGGCCACCGGACGATGGCACCGTTGAACAAGATTGGTCTATCTATCGCTGTATATATCGAGTATAGATTTCCGCGACTTTTCTGACTTCAGTTGAGTTGTTATCTATGGCATTTGTGGTTTTAAAGAGAGGGATTATACCTCCTGTAAAATGCATCCGTTTTAGTTGGGTTGACATATAGTTGTTAGCCTGTCCCTGTTGTGAGACACCACGAGTTGGTGAATAAAACTTTTCCTTGATATAATACTTTTGGGCGCTGCCCATTTCTCCGAGATGTTCTCATTTCTCAGGAGAGGCTTCACAAAATCTCCATGGGCCATGCTAGAGCCATTTCTTGTTTGTTTGATATTTTCTTTTACACATTAACATAAAGGTTCTATGCCGAAGAGGATAGTGAACGTGTTCTCCTTCTCAGAAAATCATTTTACGACGCTCCAACTATATCACTTAGCGCTGTATCGACTGACTTGTCATTGGAGTGGGTTATTGCTTCTTCGAGTGGTGGTTCGGGGATAACTTTTGACATATATAGCCGTAAAGGCTTTGTAGATAGCGCAGACAGATTTTGGAGATAGTAATGGGATAGGATGTTCGCACGTTATAATTCTTGATTCTCCTGAGTGTAGTCTGGTTGTGGTCTATTTACTTACTTTACTGGCGTATACATCGCTTACGCGATTATAGCCTATTTACAACTGTGCGCCATTCGTTTCTTCTTTTTGCTGGTTCGCACCAATTGGAAATACCAAGTATAGCCAGGTACTTCTCTACATGGTCTTTCCAACGGAGTGGAGGTCTTCCTCTTCCTCTGCTTCCACCGGCGGATACAGCATCGAAAACTCTCAAAGCTGGAGTATTCGCATCCATACGGATCATATGGCCTAGCCAGCGTAGCCGCTGCTTCTTGATTCGCTGAACTATGTCAATATCACCGTATAACTCGTACAGCTCAACGTTCCATCGTCTGCGGTATTCGCCTACTCAGTCCAAAGTAGCACCTGTTGGGAAGGTGGCAAGTTGCGAGTGCGATGACTGTTTGTTTGATTACAGTAGATATTTCGTGTTGTCCTCGTTCACTACCAAACCCACTCGCTTTGCTTTTTTATCAAGCCTGGGGAAAGCAGAACTAACGCCGCGGTTGTTGAGGCCGATAACGTCAATATCATCGGCGTACGCCGATCACTCTTATAGAATATTGTACCCTCTCTATGCAGCTCTGCAGCTCTTATTATTCTCTTCAGCATCAAATTGAATAAATCGCACGACAAAGAGTCACCCTGTCTGACACCTCGAACGGCTCGTAGAGGTCCTTCCCAAGTCTGACTGCGCTTCTGGTGTTATCTAGCGTCAGCTAACACAGACGCTTAAGCTTTGCGGGGATACCAAATTCAGACATAGCGGCAGAGAGGCAGCTCCTTTTTGTGCTGTCGAAGGCGGCTTTAAAATCGACGAAGAGGTGGTGGGTGTCGATCCACTTTTCACGGGTTTCTCAAAGGTTATGGGCAATCGCAAAATGTACTTTAAGACAAAATAAATTCCTCTAATTTTTGATAGAAATTCAACTCTAGTTCGGACATCTTCCAGCAATAAATCGAAGGAAATCAATTTTTCCTTAATATTTTTGATGTACAGATATTGACATATATTTTTTTATACTCGCACGCACATCCATTCATACATACAACATTTAAAATTTTATTAAATAAGGATTAAGTTTATGTTTCAGGTGTATTTTCATGCAACGGCAGGCTGGTAAAACCAAGAAGCGGTTGGAACTCCAGTTGGCGGAGTATTTAAATTAATATATGGTATATATATATATATTTGGGACTCTGTAACCGCTGAAACTATTTCGGCCGATTTTCTCCTGCAATTTGTACTTTTGCGTCTTGATGTTTTTCGAACATTTCGCGGTCGCCTCCGAACGGCTGATGGTTTGTTATAAAAATAATAATTCCTTAAATTCTCCACAGAACAGTCTAAAACAGATAATCTGTTATATGGGCGACAGGCCTTTCTGGACATGCATATGTATTTTTTGGTAAGACTTTCATTACCATTAAAAGTAGAGTACCAAGCAAATTTGACTGAACACTGTTTTTTAATGACCTAAATATTCCATCATGAATCGAGCGGGGCGAGGAAAGTAAAAAGGACGTTATATGCGACAAAGGCGTATTTATTGTCAGATTGCGCCTATCATCAGTTCGTAGACCCTGAAAATCATAAGTATCAACTTTTATCGAATTCTGTCCACCGATCCGATGATCTCTGAAATATACTTCTCACCCGAAAGTGGGTGATGTCACGTTCACTCGAAAGTGGTTAGCTGCGTACTGTCTTGGTTCGACCAACAATCAAAATTAATTTTTCAAATTGCGGTCGCCCCTCTGCAGGGAAATTCAAGCCCTCCGGAGATGAAATAAAAGCTGTTCATAAAAATCAATCAGCCGTCCGGAGGCTGCATAAAATAAACCATACCAAAAATCGTATTTGTCACTTCAGCGGTTAAAGGCGAAATTAATATACGGGCGGAGAAAAGTCAAGGTAAAATCGATTAAATAAATATCTGTTAGGTGAGAAATGTCAAAGTTGGGCTCCCTCACTTGACTGACTCTTTGGCTCACCGAACCGTTAACGCTGGTCCTACAATATTGTTAGCCTGGAGATCTAAAAGTTTTCCGTAATATTTTTACACACCTACGAATTGGGAACGGCGAATACCGCAGCTACGCTGGATTGGTCATGTATTCCGGTTGGATAAGAATACTCCAGCTTTGAAAGAAGAGAGGAAGACTTTTACTTCCTGGGAAGGACTAGATAGAGAAGAACTTGGTTGGACTTGGTGTTTCAAACTGGCGCCAAACAAACTACGAAAAAAAGAAATGAATGGCGCAATATTGTTAGCGCGGCTACGCCAACAACCGTTAGCCGAACACTGCGCAAGTTTACTAAGGTGACTTCTGACACCAATTGTTACGATTTTACTAAATCAACCTCGATTATTTTCTAGATCCTTCGGGTACGATCTCTGGATTGTTAAATAAAAACTCGCCAATTCAATTTGCAGTTTCTCTCGTTATAAAGATTTTATCTAATGTCTTTTATTTACTCCGTAATTCACAATACAATTACAATACACTCTACTATTTACAATCACTATCATCAACTTGCACAATTCACTCTACTTAAATGTACTCTCCAACGTGTTTACTTTACGACTTTACTGATGTTAACGCCAACGAGTTTACTTTATCACTAACTTGACTTGCAGCTGAGTGTCGCCTTTATATAGCAGTCGGCTGCTCGCAGACGAAAGCGTAGAAGCATCGAATT